AGCAAACGCAATTTTAACATGCTTTGGTAAAAACAACCATCTGCATCAATAATGATAGAATACAAGATTGCGCCAATCGAGATGAGAGCAACCGGGCGTGACGTCATCAAATACCAAAATGAGAGACCAAGACGAACTCGACAAGATAAAGAGGAATCATCGAACAAAAGGCAGTATTCCCAAGTTTTGAATTTGAAAAAGCACCAAATTTGTATTGGTGTATTTAATGGACTTTATATGCATACATAATTTTATTGTAAGAATGCCGATTCAAATTAATAAAAATCAATGTTTCTTGCAGGGACCGAAAATAATAGTTATTTTAAAAATTTCAATTCAAAAAGTCAGTCGGAAAGAATTGGTCTTTTTAACATTTGTTTCTAGCAACGGGCCGCTGTGGTGTAGTGGTAAGCAGTGCGTGCTTTCACTCATCAGCACCTGAGTTCAAGCCCTGGTCAAAGCAACATCGCAAAAAAATAGAAAAAGGTTTTTTCTTAACAGCGGTCGTCCCTCGGCAGGCAATGGCAAACCTCCGAGTGTATTTCGGCCATGAAAAACAGCTTCCCATAAAAATACAATCACCGTTCGGAGTCGGCGTAAAACTGTAGGTCCCTCCGCTTTGTGTGACAACATCAAGGCGCACGCCACAAGTCGGAGGAGAGGCTCGGCCAAACACTAACATATGTGTAAGCGCCAATCTATTATTATTATTATTATATAGCAATGTGATGCTTGTTAGCCAAGGAATGTTAATCCTATATGATTTATTTTTTTTTTTTACTTTTTTAAAATAAGTCAGCAATTAACTGTTATTTTTTTACTTATATTTTTTCAGTCACAAGTAAAAGTTAAAACTTAATTTTTTTTTCGGTCAAATATAACAGTTAAAATTTTACTTTTATTTTTTTTTCGGTCAAAAATAAAAGTTAAAAATTGACTTTTATTTTTTCGGTCAAATATAAAAGTTAAAATTTGACTTTTATTTTTTTCGGTCAAGTATAAAAGTTAAATCTGACTTATTTTTTCGGTCAAAATAGCAGTTTACATATTCACAATACAATATGTTTTAATAAAACATGCACATCCTGTCAATTGCAGTTTTCTATGCTCTGTAAATATATTGAGTTTTTTTAATTTCAGTTTTAAGTTATTCACCTTTTTACTGGAATGATTCGGAATTCAATTTAACAAATAATATTTATCAAGAACGATAGAATACTAGATTGCGCATTCCCGCAGAATGAAATTTGTGGCAACGGGTAAACAAAGAATATGGCGAAGAACAATGAGTTGACAGTTGTGAATTTGCAGTGAGAAAACATGCTTTCTTTTCGATTCACCAGATTTCTCAAGCCATCTTTGAATATAGCAAATTAAGCACAACGTTAACAAAAAATATACAACCACTCTTGAAATGTGTTCAAAAGAATAGGTCTTATTAATTACCTATTTAGAATTTTTGTGTTTGTATTGCAGGTGCCGAAAAAGTGATAATATCTTGTCGCAGCGCAGTGGTTGATGCTTGCTTACCTCTGATTTTAATTTGTAATTTGTGGTATTTCAACGTTGTCAACTTAACATGTCGTGTTTAAAAGTGGTCCGTAAAGTGCTTCATGCATATTACGCTGGTGTGTAAATTGTAGGGCTTCTCCTGCCGGCAGAACTCTACCCACTTTCTGGCCAAGGCGTCGTCGCGGGGAAACAAAAAAAAAAACTGCATTTGGGGGCTTTACCCCTACGGCTGCTGCAATTAAACACACGACACGACATATTTATAAAGTTTTTATTACAAATAAAACGTTTTTTACTTTAGAACGCACGAATTACTTCGATTTTTCACTTGAAAGTACACAATACGTTTGCACTTATTTATAAACAAAAAGTTTGTTTACGTATTGCCATAAATGTCAAAGTCGGCAAAACCAAAGTAGCGGTTTCGGGAATGTGCCACCTTCAGTTCATTTCACCATGAATATTTATAGATGCCAAGTTCTGCTCCGACAAATTGTATCGCAAATCGCTAAGAATAACCTTAGTGCTGAGAACGCGCGTCCTCCACTAACTAGTGTTGCTGGCACTTGATGTATAATACATGCGCGATATCTTTGTCGGGGATATATAAACTTTTTACCCTCCTAGTAATCCATAAAGTCCGTATCAACATCAGTGTGCTTCTCCTTATAGGTGCCTATTTCCATAAATGCTTTTCGAACGTAATCTTCGGACTGAAAAAAATAAAAGTCAAATTTTAACTTTTATATTTGGCCGAAAAAATAAAAGTCAAGTGTTAACTTTTGTTTTTAACCGACAAAATAAAAGTCATATCTTAACTTTTATTGTTGACCGAAAAAATTAAAGTAAATTTGTAACTTTTATTTTTTTAAATACATATCGGTGAAAAAAGAACGATTATTTTTTGACTTTTTTAAAAAAAAAAAGCATAACCGTTACGGTCCCTGGTTTCTTGCACGATGGTAGATTTCTTTTGGCTGATTGAAGGTGCTGCCACATATCTTGTTGTCGCTTATGATTGTCACTGTGCCATGACTTTGTTTAAGTTTTTGTAAAATTGCTTACCACACTTACGATTGCTATACATTTTGCTTCCATTTTTTTAAGATTTACAAACTTCATGTCTTCACACTAGAAACAAAAGCACCAAAAACGCACCAATCACCAAACTCAAACATTTTGGGTTTTGAACAACAGTTAATGTAAACAAAAGTATTGTGTAACGTCAGCGAATGGGTGGATGCTGTCAAATCGACGAACTGGGGGTTAGCGGTCCACGAATGGCGCCACCTTCATTTTCTGCATCGTGCAACTGCATAGCAATGCCCTAACTAGTTGGCGAAAACAGCATTTACAATTTTCGGGTTGAGTGGAAGGATTAAGATGATTCCACTCATGCAATGAATATTGCAGATCAAACTCCGTTGAGCTGAGGATCAAATTTATATACATAAATCAATCACCCTCATTGCAAGAGTCGTATCGCATGTAAGTCGTTTTTCGATAGTCGAATCGTATCGAAAATTTCACGTCATTGCCCAAAATTTCCACTCGACTAGTGTGTTAAAACGGAAAAACTTGGCAGCACTGCGAAGTTTTCGACGATTTTCGTCGTTTACTTATTTCAGCACGACAGTAGGCAATGCCAATGTTGTCGGGTCGTACAATTTAGCCTAATTTACGTCTTGCGCAATGAGGCTGAATGTCGTTGTGCATATGCGTACATCAGAGTGGTGGTGATTAGACGTACTTATATCCAAAATATACTGAGTGGCGGGTAATATCAAAATAGGCACTCTTTGCTGATCACTGCTACGAATTACGTAAATTCGGGTTCTAGAATAAGGGTGGTGGTGATATCCGAAATAGCAGCTATAACTTCGAACATTTATAAATTAGTACCAGGTTGACCGAGCTTAGCTCGAAGTGCATATATTTTTTAAAGTTTTCAAGGTTTGGGTATCGAATACGGGTTAGGTAGATAGCTTTTGAAAATAATAGTTTGGAAAATAATATGGGGTATAGTCGTTGCGCTGGGTATGCAGTTACAGTTGCATGGCTATACACAATCCCGACTCTTGCGTCCTCGTTCGCGCACTCTGGGTAACGTGAGCAACCCATGTACGAGATGCGGTAACCAATCCGAGTGGAGCCTTGGGTCACGGCAGAAAGTGAGGTTGCTTCGGTGGGGCCATACCGACTTATTCGGTTTAAGGACTCACTGAAGTCTGCAGCGTCTGTTCACCAGTAGGTGCGGCTGCAAGCGGGTGTCTGCTTGGAGCAAGCGGCTCGCTATATAAACGTGTATTTGGTTGCGAAACCACCCCCGTCCCAGCAATGCGTTGTGCGCTGGGCTGGGACCCGCCACGTAAAAACCACTTCCAGTGAAGAAGCAAGGCAAAGCCTCGGATGAGACCCCCCCTTATGATGACGACCACGGCAAACGGTTAAAGGACTACGATTTGAGGGCATGCACCTGGAATGTCCGGACCCTTAATGGGGAAGCTGCTTCTGCCCGGCTGGTTGATGTCCTCGTAAGAACAAAAGCTGACATCACCGCCATCCAAGAAATGCGTCGGACGGAGCAAGGCGAGCAATGTCTGGGGCCTTGCGACGTCTACTACAGGTGCCATGTAAAGGAGCGCAAATTCGGAGTTGGATTTGTGGTGGGAGAGAGAAACCGTCGCCGAGTACTGTCGTTCACCCCGGTGGACGAGCGTCTAGCCACAATCCGCATCAAAGCGAGATTCTTCAACATCTCGCTTATCTGCGTCCATGCCCCGACGGAAGAGAAGGATGAGGTATCCAAGGATCTCTTCTATGAGCGCTTGGAGCGCACGTACGAGCGCTGCCCCCCTCATGATATCAAAATCGTGCTTGGCGATTTCAATGCCAGGGTGGGCAAGGAAGTGATCTTTGGAACCACCGTCGGAAAATTCAGCCTCCACGACGAAACGTCCGACAACGGATTGAGGCTGATCGACTTCGCCGGGGCCCGAAACATGGTAGTATGCAGTACTAGGTTCAAGCATAAAAAGATCCATCAAGCTACGTGGCTGTCTCTGGATCAAAAAACGAGAAACCAATCGATCATGTTGGGATAGACAGAAGGTACGCTTCCAGTGTTTTAGACGTACGCACACTTCGAGGCCCAAACATCGACTCAGACCACTATCTTGTTGCAGCCAAGATACGCACCCGCCTCTGTGCAGCAAAAAATGTGCGCCAAATATGCCAGGAAAGCTTAACATCGAAAAGCTGCAATCGCAACAGACAGCCAGCGCCTCTCACACCTGCTCTCAGAGAGCACTCTTCAACAAACCGACATATGCGAGCAGTGAAATCACATTTCCCGCTCATTAAGTACCGCCGTCGAAGAAAGATTTCAGCGAGCCCGAAAGAACAACTGGTACGATGA